TGTGGCGATAATCGGAACCGACGTATGAGTGTTTATTGTAGATGCATTGTCGAGGCATATTATTTTCTAGCCACGAATTTCTTGGAATAATAAGTTTTCGGTGATATGATATTCAAATTTCGTTTCGAGTTGTTTTTTGGAAAAATGAAACTTGTTTAGCTCGAGTAAGTTTCTCGACATCGGTTGTATTGAGTGGGAGGGGAGGATTATTGCGGAATTGACCTGAGTTACTTCGTTACGCATGCCTCATCAATTCTTCGGCTGTTATTCAGCGATTTTGTTCATGAACTGAATTGTTTAAAGCACATGAATTTGCAACATTTACATTCAAAATAAGAATCTGATGTTTCTAATGTTTGGTTTTCAATCTGATTCCGTTATAAAAGTTGATTTCCCTTTCGACGCGTACTAGCAAGTAATTTCCGGCCGAAAGTGCTAACGATAACGTTTGCTCCACTTCAGAAGCACATGATTGTTTGGATTGTGAGTTAATTGCATAATTCAAAATGTCACATTAATCGACAATGATGTGTGCGCAATTTGTGTGATACAAGTTTTATTTAAGAGTCAAACGCAGGCCGTTTCCACAGTTGCGTACTCCTTGCAGACTACTGCCTGACAGTCGCATGAAACAAAAAACAAGTTCAGTCCATTCATTCTGAAGCTGCGCACTTCAATCTGACTTTTTGAAGTGAAACTGAACAATGAGCAAAAATTGGTTTCACTTCATTGAACGATTTGAAACATTATATCAGGATCAGTACCTCCATTCAGTATTTGGTCATCATCGATCACTTCGAGCTCATCTGAAATTACAATGCGTTGCGGCACTGTAATTTGCAATTGTAGTTGTATAAAACTGCGAGTCACGGCAATCATTAACTTCTGATAATAAATATTTCACTTTCTTTTCTTCAATTTGCAATTTCCTCACATAAAAACCTCAATTTTGATGAACCAGTTGCAAGCGCTATTCACTCGATGCACTCTCATTATCCTCGTTTCTCAAGGTTGAAAATATCGGTTCTTTTTTCTATCGAAAAGTGGATTGTATCATAGGAGAGTGATTCTTGTATTAGTTTCAATTAACTTAGTTACAACTAGCAGCCGTTGGTCGATGCAAGTTTTTTCATTTAGAAATATGCAAAGTAGAAGGCAGTGTCTGAGGAGAAGTACTTGGTAGATTGAGCAACTGAATTTGCCAGGCGGTGACTGTATTCGATGCTCGTCACTGTCATGAATGTTAACTTCCAGTTAGCGTTCGACAAAGTCGGCGTTTGAGAATCAGTTCCTTCACTGATAGTGACTTTATCAGCATGAAAAATCGCCTCATAGTTAAACTATGCAAATTCACATCTGTAAATAGGAACATTATTCTCCACTTTTTTTCAAATCTTATATGTTCTGCCGACATGTTCACAGAGGACAATAGAAGACTTTAGAACTCATTCATAGAATACTTATTGTTGTGAATGATTCTTGAGTTGTAATAACAATGATTGTTCAACGGTGGTAAATAAAAATGCTTAAATAAATCTTTTAAAAAATAAGGAAGTAAGTTAATGCTGACCTCTCAACTCCGCCATTCAAATAATTAACTTTTAGATGCATGAAATACATAACGCATTCAGCTAACTGATCTGTTACGACCAACTGTTTTGTACATTATCAAAATTATTCATTAGCACATTCGATGTCGCAATGAAAATAACTCAAAATCAATGAATACTCCAGTCATCTGTTGTTGATTTTATTGGTGTGAAGCATCGATCAACAATTGCATTCATCTGATAAGTGCTTCGCAGAGGCGAGATGAGTCCGATACTAAACACGATATGTGTTTTACACCGTGCAATAGATGCATTAAAAATGCGTTTGTTCAACTTCTGGAGATGATCGTTTAAAAATGAAAGTTTTAAAGAAAAATTGTTTTTCTCCATGCGATCAAATGATTGACATTGAGATGAATATAGAAAGAATCCTTCACTGAGGTGATGTAAGGGACCATTCCACGGCAGAGGTGAATCTTGATGCGAGGACCAACTGTTCCAGTTTGATATCTGAAAGCAATAATCACATACGCCTTGCATTTGACTTGAAGCGACCTGTCAATAACAGGCCCGAGTTTTGAAGGCGGTCAAACCGAATTTGTATGATAACTTCAGTGTTGATGTCAACTGTTTCGAGCAAAAATCTGTTAAAGAGCATGTCCATAGATTTAAATTCTTTCGTTGAATTGTCTCATTTATAGTGAGGTATCATTCTTTCGACTATCATCAAATTCTACAGTTTTATTTACACTGAGCCATAGACCAGTAAAGACATAGTCGTCCAGTTCCATGAGAAAATGGACAGTGGAATTAGTGGGAAAACTTGGTGATGTTTTTCACGACCTAGAGCAATCAAAAAACATCACAATTGATTGGTTATTTCATCTAAACAAATGATGTTCCAGAGAAACACTGAAACTGACGTTTCAGAGCTATTATAATCATGCTGTTTTCAGCGATGTGACGCGATCGCACCCTTTCTGTCAGCCGATGAGTTGAGGTATACGTTTGGTGTGCAACAACTTAAAGACGGTCAGTTTAGAATTCGTCGATCGATTACTCATTGGTTCCAGTGGAACAATCATTTTTATGTGTATTGCCACTAATGGTGTATTCGCTTGGAACTTTTTTGTTTGCGTTGAGAACGACACAATTGCCAGCAAAAAGTCTCGGAGATGATTCGAACATATTTTGTATCGCTTCATGCAGTTGACACTGCAGATAACATCTGGGATGAGTGATCATACCTGATGAGAATAATGCGAAGCTGATGCTGTTTAAGGCGTTTTGAAATTTCATTGAAATGAGGTATGAGTTAGTTGATGCTTTCATAACTGGTTGCCTTGCGTTTAGAGCACTGAATCAGAGCGCTGTTCTCTGCTTGATAATCAATGCACTCGAATTGCTGTCACTATCACTAATTTTGTTATCCTCCTCAAAAAACTGGCTCCATTTTCGTCGTAAGGTTGAACATGTCGTGTTTCGCTTCATTGCCCATCGCGTACATGTCATTTCCTTCTTCAACCTCTTAATTTTCCTCATAAACGTATGATCTTTTAACATTATTGTAATCAATTCAATTAAGGCAATTTCCTTCTTTTCCATCTCCGAAAACCAGTTACTGATGACTGATGTTGTCGATAGCGCAGAAAAAGTATACACTTTTTTGAGTATTTCACATTGGAAACACCTCTTATCACTTGAGGAAATATCGAAACTTGATATATGTTCTAGGGGATAGCCTTAGCAATTCAATCTGAAATGATATTACGCTCGAGTAATTCATGACACGGCTGGTGAATAATGGTGAATTGGAGTGAATTATTTAATGTGTCGTACGAAATAGAACATTAAAATGACTGTCGTTCAGTGAGTGATCTTTGGTATGCCGGAAGTGATTGTACACCTGTTTAATTGCTAGCGTACTTTCAATATAATTGCTCTCTGCAAGGTCGATACACCCACTCACTACGTTGTTGGTACATGAATTGTAGGGACACCGCAGTAAGACTGTGCTTGAGATAGATTTGAATGCTCTATTATGGAGTGCATTTCGGTTGCAGTCAAATATGAATTCAATTTCAAGTTCAAGACTGAGATGATTTCAAACGTTAATCTTTGCTGAACATTTAGAACAACTGATTTTGTGCTTTACAGTGCCAAAGTACACAGAAGTCTTTCCGGATGCATTCTATACAGAGGATGGACAATTGCAAAGTTTACATATCAATATAAGTAATGAGGGACATGATCTGGAGTTCAAGCCGAGCATCACTTCGCTCATTCCATCGCATCTGACTACTGTCTATCGGAACGGCGATGGCAGTGGACAGTTGCACGTCAATTTACAACCGAAGAGTTGTCATTATCAACATCGGTCCAACGAGACGTTCGCTGCCGTTAGCAACTGTGACGGCAATCTGGTTCGTACTTTATTCGTTGCTTTTGGAATCAGTATTTGATTGATTGGGTTGTGATGAACAGATGAAGTTTAGAAAGGCATAATCGTACGTCCAGAAGGAGTTTATGTGATACATCCCGTTCCTGATCGTCATGTGCATCGTTTTAAAAGGAATAAAGGTTCGTTCATTCATTCCTGATTCATTGCTTGGAGCAACATCCAAAAAATTGATTGAAAAATGAATGAATGAATTGATTTGTTGATTGCTCAAATGACACTGATTCAACTAAACGAGAGTNGTGTCGACGACTGTTATACCGAAAAAGTTTAGTTTACACAAACGAGTTTGCGTTCAAGAACGCTGAAAATAATTGTTATACTATTGCAAAACATAAATCACATTAGTGATTGCTTAGTGCAGTGAATGCACTTCAAAATCACAATATTTTGTTCCGCAGTAGCGAGCTTATATGGCGATCATCTTGACTCGATAAAAGTTCAGTACCAACAAGCTTTAAACCATAAACCAAACCATAACTAAACCATTAATAGCAGTAGATCTTTGTTTCACAGAATCGAACTCACCGCATGGATTACATGTGTTATACAAACGTGAGGTGAAGACTGAAGAGGATTTTTGTGGTATTGAATCAGTGATCTCATCGAATGAATTGACGGAAGACGAGAGTGCAGTTAGTGAGGATATTTATACGGTCGGTGAAAGACTCACTCAAGAGAGCGATTTAATCGTACGTTGTCGTTGTTCATATTGTCTTTTGTGACTTTCGACATTCAATCCAACAATATTTCTCTCAGGCTGAATGCAGTCAAGTGATTATGCCGTAAGAATTTTGCGTGAATGTTATCACGTTGATTGGAAAAAAACAAAAATGCACCTGGAATCGTTTGTTCGGTATTTTTAGAAAATGACACACATTACATCTTTTTCATCAACTTGATGAGAAGTTTTTTCTTTTAAACAAGTCGTTTGAATAGATGTGATTAATTTAGTGTTGCTTGGCGAAAAAAGAATATTGATGAGTGTGAGCAGAAAAATTTAACCCATGAAGTGGTCGTTTTTGAAATAAGGTTTTTCAATCATTCATTCGAAAATTAGTTCTCATCGTAGGCATTAATTTGGTGAATTATGAACACAAACAATGATTCACGGTTGCATTTGTTTCAACAGTTGGGCGCTCTATCGCTGAGAGAAATCCGTATAAGTTTTGCTGCCATTCAAGGGGATTCATTTGAAGTTTGATATAAATCGAAGTGATGAAGAAAAAGAAGCAACTAAAGTAGCAACAGGTTGTAATGAATTTAACGAATGAGTATTATTTGAGGTGGAATTGGCGATTTTCGTTGACGAATTACTTTGGCGACATTTTAGTAGTAAATATGGTGGATCGGCGAATTCCAAATTAGAAGATTATGCGTTAACGATGTTGAATAATATTCAAATAATGTATCATCAACCAACAGCCGTACCGCAGTTAACGTTTCACGTTGTACGATTCGAAGTGCTCACTACACAACCTGTACGATATGCTCTGATAATCATACATGATTAATTATCTGTCATTCACTTTCTTTACATTATTCATTCCTAACCGATGCTTGAACGCGAAACATGATTTAATTGTTACCAACCAACAACTGATAAAATGTATTAAACTTATCATATTCGGTGTGAAGTGGGACGGTACAACTTTAAGCCGTTAAAAGCATAATCCAATCGAAGCAACATTCTCCATCACATCTGAAAATGAGTAATTCTCACAAAAGAATCCATATCTTGCTTGAGCATCGAGAATATTTCTAGAGCACAATGGCAGCACATTTACACAACAACGGACATGCACAGAAATATCTCGATCGATTCTGTCGATATCAAAGAACAGCTGGAGCGCGCGACTGGGATCATGCATTCCTGCTGACTGGGTATGTGAACGCAACTCTGAAATACTCAATTTGCACTTTTTGTGATGCAGTTAGTTGGTATGTAAATGTGAATGAAATGTATTCAGTTATGACATTCATCGTGGAACTGGTTCGAGATCAATCAGTGGTATCGCTCGTTTAGATGGAATGTGCGATCCGTGGAATACGTGTACCTTGGCTGAAGGTCTTGACTTCACTTCAGCGTTTATTGGTACGCATGAACTTGGCCACAGGTGAGCATTATCATCGATATGATTTGTGATCATGTTTCATAAATAATGTCATGCAGTGTTGGTATGCGCCACGATGAGCCTTATTGTCCATCGAAGCACATCATGAGTTCTTCGTTGGGTCCTGGCAAGGTGACCTGGTCTACATGTTCTCTCAGAGACTATCACACATTTTTGCAAAGACTTGAGTAAGTTTTGCTTTGCATTCCTCCTTTCGTCTCTTTCTTAAACAAATACCTCTTGATGTTTTTCTTTTGCGATGATCCATCATTTATCTCGAAGTCTTTTCCAGATGCATCTTGAAAGAGAAAATAGATTTATGAATGCTTGATTTTGCGAATTCTGAGATTGACGAAGTCTACTGCTCACCATCAGGATGTTTTAGCCAGTTCTATGCTCTGGACCTCGAATCTTATTCTCCCGAAAGGATCAGTCAAGCTGAACAGAACGCTTAAGTTTACAATGTATAAGTTGCATTGCAGTAGTCGAGGAAAGAACTGCTTACGTGTATCAAATCTTCCACAAACACTAACGATGAGAACTGATCAGAAGCCTGGCCAAATCTATGATGCGAACACTCAGTGCAGAATGATGCATGGACCATCTTATCAACAGGTCACTAAATGATAGTTGTGCCGTATTCATCCAAAACAATCAGTATTTATTGTTCAGTGAAGTAAGAAATGAAACCGAATGATAATCAGCGTTGTTGATTATAGTTAGAATATGTTGCCGTCAGTCAGTCGTTATGTTGCATTAGTTCCAAAAGATTACATCAAACATCATCAATAATTACATCAACTATTAATTCTGTTTGTAATAGTGGAACAATGCAGTATTTAAAAACTGTTTATAATCGCATGAATCTCATTCATTTTAAAACTCTAATACACTTCATTCATTGGCTAGCTATATGCAAGAGACTCGATCTACTATCCAGTCTTATGTCTAAACTAATTTCCGATCTTGATAGTAGCAATT